GCTCTTCGATTCAGTCGTAACGCCTACGTTGCTGTTCGGTCTGCCAACGCTTGCCCTGACGGCGCGCCAGAAGGAGCAGCCGGACGTCCTGCAACGACGCATGCTGCGCTTGATTGTGGGGTGGGTGCGGCTTGACGACGAAGACTGGAACGTCACCATGCGTCGAATGAGCGACCGGGTCGACAGGGCTCTGTCATTGTACCCTGTTCGAAGCTGGCGGGAAAGGCTGGCCCACCTGCAGTACAATTTCGCCGGCCAGCTTGGGCAGAACACCGACAGCTGGGCGCACCGCGTATCAAGCTGGAGCCCGCCCTCAACCTATCCCGAGGACGTCCAGCATGTCGTTGGGACGATCACTTGCAAAAGCACTCGCTTGCAACGTTTGGTGAGCCATGGTACGTCGCTGCTCGAGACCGCAGGAAATGGCGTGCGCAGACCGAGGGCTACACGCAAGACTTCTGAGTTCAACTTTGCATGCAGATTTTCCATCGCCCGCACGAATTTATAGCTTTCTGCCCACGTCCGCTTGCGGACCGATTCGATTCGACCGGGCCTTGCCTTGCCTTGCCACATGTTCGGGAATCTTGCGCCCGCGGGTGCACCGCCGCCGCGGTCTGGCTGCAGCCACGGCCCCCGCTGCCGCTGCTGGCTCCGCCGGCGCGCTCAGGGTGGAATTCATCCGCGTCTGAGTTCCCTCTACCTCCTCAATTCGCGCGTCGGTCGCTTCGATCGTTCTGCTGGTGCAGCTCTTCTGCCTCGGCGCCGACGAAAAAAATTCGGGAGTATTCCCCTACACTTCACATCTCTTCCTCATTCTCCGGGGAATGGACATCTATCGGGCGTGTCCCCCTACAGGCGGATTTTGGAGGAAAAATGAAAAATACCAACATTGACCGAATTTGCTCAACAAATAATCGGCAAATCGTCCCCAGACTATTTTTCAAATATTCCTTTGCAGAGGGACATGCCCGACTTCAACCGAATCTGTGCCTCCCCTCCTGAGTTGCGCGTGGCCGACCCTGGCGCGGGGAAGGGAGCACCGGGGAGAGCGACGTGGCAGCCGGGAGGAGGGAAATGGAGGAGGCCACGGGCGGAGTGACAGGAGGGTGCCCGCGTGGGTTCTTCTCCCTCCTGATCTGCGCGCGGCCGACCATCCGCCGTGTTTTTCCCCGCGTGATGCGGCCCGGGTCCTCGCCAGGAGAGGGACGCATCAACACGCCCCGGCGACGACGACGACGCCGCCGCCGACGACGACGCCGACGACGACGTCGACGCCGACGACGACGACGACGACGCGGACGCCGACGACGGCGACGGCGACGCCGACGACGACGACGCCGACGCCGACGACGAGCGGCAGCGCCTGGGCCTCGCCAGCGCGGCCGCCGCCCTGCCGGCGAGGCGGCGCCTCCCGCGGGCGGCGCGCCGCGGCGCGCCCCGCGGAGGCCTCCCCGGCGGCCGGCGCGGCGGGCCGCAGGGGCGCCGCGGGCGCCTCGGGGGCGGCGGCGCGGGGCCGCGGCAGACAGTCGCCCTCGCCCTCGTCCTCGCCCTCGCCCTCCTCCTCCTCCTGCTCCTCCTCCCGCTCGCCCTCGCCCTCCTCCTCGCCCTCGCCCTCGCCCTCGCCCCGCCTCCTCGTCCCGCTAGCCCTCGCCCTCGCCCTCCGCTCGCCCACGAAACGCCCTCCTCGTCCTCGCCCTCGCCCTCGCCATCCTCCTGCTCCTCCTCCTCCTCCTGCTCCTCCTCCTCGCCCTCGCCCTCGCCCTCCTTCTCATCCCGCTCCCCCTTCTCCTGTTTTTGTTTGTTCTCTCTCTCTCTCTCCCTCTCTCTCTCTCTGCCTCTCCTGGCATGAGCGTGTCCTGGCGTAGCCATCTTCCCCCTCCCCCTCCCTGGGGCGGCCGCCCCTGGGGGGTTCGGTCAGACCAAGACATCTGGAAAGACGAGGTGGCCCCGCCCCCTGGGCGCCGTCCCCAAGCGGCAAGCGAGGCCCAGCCACAGTCTTGCTCCGCTCCAAGGAAGGGAGCATCCTCCCGCACGAAGCCGCCCAGCCTCCAACAACACCCCTGCTCCTCGTCCTGCTCCTCCTCCTCATCCCCATCCCCCTCCTCCATCCCCTTTCCCATGGAAGCAGCTCCTTTTCCCATGGAAGCAACTCCTCCCTGTCCCACCCCCAGACGTGCGGGTGGGACGGGCCGGGCGTTTCGCCAGCACTTGTGCTTGGCAACAGTTTCAAGGAGGGAGGGCGGCTCCCTTTCAAAATGTGGCTCTCACTTCTGCGCCGCGCCAGTCGTCTCAAACGCTCGCAACCGTTCAGTGGATGGAGGGCGGCTCCTTTTCACAAGGTGGCTCTCGCCTGAGCGCCTTGCACATTCGTTTTGCAACTTTGCAGCGGTGTAGAAATTTCGTATGGTTGAAGACCCGCGAAAAGTGTTCTGGGACCATACGGGATTGTCAGGCCTCAACTGTCACTTTGATTTGCGTTGTTGAAGTCCTAAGAACGGTGCTCTAGCGCGATTTAGGACTGTCGGGACGCAGCAATAACGTTGATTCGCGGCGCTGGAGCCCAAAGAACTGTCCAATACTCCGGGTTCTCACACGGTAGTACTCCAATGGGGCACTTCCCGCAATGAACACACATGCTTCTGGGGACCTATGAGGAGGGAACTTGGAGGCAGGGTTTGTTGCAACATCGTTCACGCGCAATTGGCTTACACTGGTCCCCCTCCTCCCCTCCTCCGCCTCCTCAGGCCTTCACGCCTCGTGCAGGGGCCCCTTGAAGTTCGCCAGGCGCTAACCGACGCTAAAGACAGAATTGAATGGGTATACCAGGCTCCCATGATTTGCCACCGAATCAACCCATCCACTTGTTTGACTTGTTTGAATATTTCTCCTGTAGAGGCACACCCGATTTAAGACTACTGACATCTGTCCCTGAGCCCATCCCGCCCCCCCCCTTAGCATTGCCCCTTGCTTGCCCCCAAGGGGAGAAGAGGAGGAGGAGGAGGAGGATGAGGACGAGGACGAGGAGGACATCTGTCCCTGAGCCCATTCCCTCCCCCCCCCTAGCATGAACCCCCCCCGAGGGGGGGGGGGGGCGGGCGACGCGGCCGCCCCCTCCCCCGCTGAGTGGGCGGAGGTGGCAGGCCTGCCCGGGCGGGGGCGGCCGCGGCGGCCCCGGCAGCGCGCGGACGTACTTCGCGGGCGGCGGCGCCTCCTGCGGAGAGCGGCGCGGGTGGGGCTCGACGAGGAGGGAGAGGAGGAAGAGGCGGAGGCGGAGGAGGAGGAGGGGAGGAGGCGGAGGAGGAGGAGAGGAGGAGGAGGAGGAGGAGAGGAGGAGGAGGAGGAGGAGGAGGAGGAGGAGGAGGAGGAGGAGGAGGAGGAGGAGGGGAGGAGGAGGAGGAGGAGAGGAGGAGGAGGGGAGGAGGAGGAGGAGAGCAGGAGGAGGAGGGGAGGAGGAGGAGGAGGAGGAGGAGGAGGGGAGGAGGAGGAGGAGGAGGAGGAGGAGGAGGAGGAGGAGGAGGGGGGAGGAGGAGGAGGAGGAGGAGGACGAGGAGGGAGGAAGAGGAGGAGAGGAGGAGGAGGAGGAGGAGGAGGAGGAGGAGGAGGAGGAGGAGGCCCAGGAGGAGGGAGGAGAAGGATAAGGAGTGGACTTTTAAGCAAGATGACCCCCTAGTGTCCTCCGCCACTACCGTCGTTCTATAAATGGGGGGGGGGGGGGGCACGGGCCAGCTCTGCAGGCTGAGCCTCGCCGGGCGCCTCATCCTCCCACAATTAGAGGGGGACTTCAGGGGCAGCGACAGGACATGCCGATGCTTCAGGAGCAACGGTCATTCTCTTCCCCCAACCCAGACCCCTCGGGTCATGAAACAATCACGACGGGAGGTTTTTGTCGCTACCTTCGGCCCCTGGGGGCCCTTCCTGGGCATCGGGAGCGTGAGAAAACCGGCTCGGGCCGAGGAGCCCGTCCGGGAAAACCGGTGGACATCTCTGGGGGGTCAACGCCATGAACAGAATCGTGGCGTCGGGGGTCTGGGGACGCGCGTGGCCTCCGCAGGGGCTCCCCCTCGAGCCACGGGCAAGCGCCAGCACCGCAGGCGGGGAGGCGGAGCCGCGGAGGGAGGCCACGCCAAGAGCTCGAGGAGCCGAGGAGGAGGAGGAGGAGGAGGAGGAGGAGGAGGAGGAGGAGGAGGAGGAGGAGGAGGAGGAGGAGGGGGAGGAGGAGGAGGCGGAGGAGGAGGAGGAGGAGGAGGAGGAGGAGGAGGAGGAGGAGGAAGAGGAGGATGGGGAGGGGCCCGGGGGCCGTGCACGCCCCGCGGGGGAAGTTCACGAGGAACCTCCGGGAGGCGTCGCGTGGCCTCACGAGGCCCGAGTTGCGGCGGCTCCACGTCGAAGTGACGCTGGGCTCACGGCGGAGTGCGTCGGACCTTGGACGCCCGAGTTATCCGGGGTAACTCGGGTCCGGGGTAACTCGGGTTTGGGTTCCCGAAAAACGAACCCGAGTTAGCCCTGACCCGAATTATCCCTGATGATTCGGGGCTCTGAGGACCTGCGCCGGAGTCGCGTCGCCCTTGCGTCGGGCTGGCGTCGGGGCATCGCCGCGCGGTCGGACTGCGTCGGATCTGCGCCGGATGCGCGTCGACCTTGCGTCGGACTGGCGTCGGTACATCGCCGCGCGAACGTCGTCCCACTGACGGGACGGACGTGCGGGACCAGAAAATATCAACGGCCCAGAACCTCGCTTCTCGAACCCCTCTGACCACAACCCGCTTACCATCTGTCCCTGGGTCCAGCTAGACATCTGGGCCCTTTTCCCGTCCTGGATCGACCTCTGGCAGGACCCCCGAACTCTGGCACCTTCAATAGAGGCCTCCCACATCGGGTCCGAGCCGATGAGGTCGGAGGATCGCGACGCATCGCCGATGCATCGGCGACGCCAGAGATGCATCGGCGACGCCGCCGTGGAGAAAATTGGGCTCCACATCGAGCTGCATCCCCGATGCACCGGCGATGCGGCGAGATCCTCCGACTCCATCTGCTCGGACCCTCCTTGGGATGCCCAGACGAAAGCATGCTGGAACGCACCAACCCATTCCCCCCCGAGGTGGGTTCTGGGGGTTTTAGGCGGGGGGCCCACCCAGACGAAAGCAGCTGGAACGCACCAACCCATTCCCCCCCGAGGTGGGTTCTGGGGGGTTTCAGGGGGGGGGACATTCTAACTTTCAAAAGACATGGGGGGGGGGTTCTGGGAGGGTCCTCCCCAACCCAAACCAAAAAAACCCTGACAGAGGTCCTGGGGGAGTGCCCGGGAGAAGACCCTCACCGCCCCCCCCTCCTGAGAGAGGGGCTTCTGGAGGGTTCCAGGTTTGGGGGGGCGACCTCCTTCCCCTCAGCAGAAACGCTGAGGTGGGGCTCTGGGGGGCTTCTCGGGAGAAGCCGCCAAAACTCCTTCAAAAACTCATCTGCTCGGATCCCAGTCGGGAATCCTGGATGCACGCCCCCTGGCCAGGGGTCGAGCATTGCAACCTGGACCTCTCCTGGGTCGCGTTCTGCCCAGAATGTCGGGGCGGATGCAGACGTGGCGCGCCCCACGATGATCAAACACCTCCCCGAAGCCTGGACGAAAGCAGAAGGAAAGCAGAGGGGGGCGCCGCGGGGCAAGCATCGTGCACAGATCCGACAGGGGCCCCAGACCCCATCCGTCTGCGCCCTTCGCTCGCACGCGATCGACCCGAGAGGCTCTGCTGGGGGGGGGCCGCGACTCGGCGAAAGCGCCGGGCGTGAGCAAATTGCATTGCGAAGATCTCGAGGCAACCCGCCCAGAGGCCAGAAGGGAGGGGGCGCAGGCGCCGGAGGAGGAGGAGGAGGAGGAGGACGAGGAGGGAGGGGGAGGAGGAGGAGGAGAAGGAAGGAGGAGGAGGAGGAGGAGGGAGGAGGAGGAGGACGAGGAGGGAGGAGGAGGGAGGAGGGAGAGGAGGATGAGAGGAGGAGGAGGAGGAGGAGGAGGAGGAGGAGGAGGAGGAGGAGGGAGGAGGAGGGGAGAGGAGGAGGAGGAGGAGGAGGAGGAGGGAGGAGGAGGGGGAGGAGGAACGATCAGGAGCGATCAGATGAAAGGACAGCGTACGTCCACAAACGGCGCGGGCCTCGGTGACCTGGCCCGCTTGAGGGTTAAAACTGAGGCCACAGTTTTAACCCTCGGAAGTGGCAACTTGAGCCACTCCCTCGGGGGGTGGAACGCGACCACTCGTCGACGTCGTCAGGGTCGTTCCACCCCCCCTTGCACCGAGGCCAACAAGTCCTAGTGACTCCGCCTCTCTCACCGCTCTTGGCGGTCCCGACGTCCACGCCGAGCACGCCGACGGGGGTTACGGTCCCCCACCGTCAGACGTAGAGCGACCTCTTAGCGAAGCCGAAGTCGCTAGGGGAATAGCGGGCCCCCACCGCCTGAACCAGCCGGGTACAGCACCACGAACTGGCCGAAGAGCGCCGCGGCCGAGTCTTAGTCTGGGTGCTCGGTCTTGCACTCTTCGTCGCACAGGAAGGCCCTCGGGTCCAGGTCGCCCTCGTCGAACGCCTCCTGGATGGCCTTCGCATGGGCCTCCTTGGCGCACTCGAGCTGCGCCTCCAAGTTGATGATTTCCATGGCCCACTTCTGGATGTCGCGGGTGAACTCCTGCCCCGCCCTGCAGCCCAGCTGGTCGGAGAGCGCGCACGTGACCTCGTCGACCTTCTCCACCTGGGAGGGGGCCTCCACCACGGTGCCCTCGGACCCAGTGTCGAAGAGGTTCGGCTCCTTCTGGCCATCGCACTCGGCCTCCTGCTGCTTCCACGCCTGCTTGAGCTTGTCCTTCTTCTCCTCGAGCTTCTCCTTCTGGATGCGGCCGTCCTCGAACTTCGTCACCCGCTCGCGGCACTCCTCGTCCGAGACTTGGCTGCTGGTGGCGGCTGCACGGAGGGCCGCACCAGCACGGTGCCTGCCTCTCTGCCGCCGCTTCGCCTCCTTGCCATCCTTCGGCAAGGCCTCCGCTCCTTCCCCAAAGAGCGCATGCTCGGCCACGTTCCTGATGGCCTTGTCCTCGCCCGTGAGGCGCAACGGCTCCACGTCGTGCGCTGCGCGGACCTTCGCCGCGATGACGGGCTTGATCATCCCGATCCTGGCGTCCACCTCCTCCAGGACCTCCTTCTCGTCAGCCTCCTGGGCAGACGCAGCGCGACCCGCGCGCCACAGGGCGACCGCCGTGGCCGCCACCACCTGGCGGGAGCCGCCCGCACGAACCACCGCGCCGAGCAGCGCCTCCGCCATTGCATCGGACATGGGAGGAGCAGAACCGCGGCCAGCTCAGCCTGGGCAGGCAGGAGGGGGAGGAGGAGGAGGAGGAGGAGGAGGAGGAGGAGGAGGAGGACGAGGAGGAGGAGGAGGAGGAGGAGGAGGATGACGAGGACGAGGACGAGGTGGAGGACGAGGAGGAGGAGGAGGAGGAGGAGGAGGAGGGGGAGGAGTTGGAG